ATAATAATAATAATGATAATAACAAACACAAAAAACTATACTTGTTTAATATAAAAATCAATAGTCATTTTTAAAATTCATGATTCAATACAGCAAAATAAACAAATTTAAATGGTAAAATATAATAATACTTATTCTTCTACATAATCCAGTGTTTCATCTACCATTACTAGGTATTGTATATATAAATTTATACTCATGACTATGCATACTCTTGACTATGCTGTTCACCATAAAAAGAAAAGGAAACATTTTGATGTGATTCTCATATTTTCAATATCCCCTATTTATGGACGATGACTCGGTGATTTATTTCTCAGCAGCAATTTTTTTGTTTTATATCTAAAGATACTCTGTTATTTTCTTGGAGCTTTCAGGAGATTGAATGAATGCAGGAAATTGCTCAAGGATTGAGATGAATAATACAGGTGCAAAAAAACTTGTACTGCATGATTATTTWGACATTTAGTTTTATATTTTTGCTTTATTGTTGATATAAGCATCTGAGACACAGTGGAATCACTGTTGTGATGAAATCTTGTCTCGTGTTTTTTATTAGTCTTTCTATTTTTCATTTTTGCAGCTAAAAAATGTCATGAATGTACGAATAATTTGGCAGATTTTGTTGTGTGTATACAATACCTTTGATATTTAGCACAGTTTTTGTAAAATTGGCCAAATTGGAAATGTTTATTTTTAAAGTTTGATTGGTTGTAGTACCCAGAATGAATAGTCGACTCCAAAAATAATCCAGTTGTAGATTTTATCACCCTACTTTGCCTTACGACAGCTGCTATTAAAAAAGCATAAAGCACAATTTCTCTACACTGAGGCTCCTTCATTTTTTTTCATGTGATAAAAAAACTAGCAAAGTGGACATCAAACTCGGTTGGAGAAATATTTTAAATAGAAATTACCGGCATTCCCAAAAGAAACCGGCAGAGCTTGAAAAATTGGAGCTTGCTTTCATTAGCTAAAGAAAATGAATGACCTCGTTCAGAAAATAATTTCTCGTTCCATATCCAACCATGCACATGAGATCTACAGACCAGCAGTCTGTGGCAGACCTGATGGTGCAGTGTTTGAGTGATTATGCAAATCGCTTTTGGCTGTTGACAAAGCATAATCTTCCCAAGAGTCCCCCTCCCTCTAATTGCTGTTAATCTGTTCTTTCTAATTAAGGACCATATTTGATGGGGAAAAAAGGAAATTTGTGGCAGCTTAACAAATACATATCTAACTTGGAACTATTCAATTTAATAGTCTTTGCCACAGTCATTGCTAAAATAGAGAGCACATCTATGCTGTGATTTAATCTTCTAACCTTGACTATGTCATCAAGAAAAAACAACAACAAATAAATACATAATGCATTTAACATGCATGAACTCCTCAATGTGTCTACTTACTTTTTGTGAAAAAAAAAGTGCAGACGAGATTTTGTTAAAGCATGGCTAAACATTTTGTTGTAGTTGACAATAAAATAAAATGAAAAAATAGGTGATATATTTGGTGGTTTGGGACACCAATTTAAGTGTATTTCATTACATTTAGCTATAATTACACATTTCAAGCACACGTGTCCCTGTGAGTGACCTTTTACAGATCTTTGGAGGTTAGAATAGGGACTATTCTAGCATAAAAACACAGCTGTTTGTTCACTGACATCTCTTTATTTCCATTTGTAGCTCCATTCACCCTGTCCTCTCTCACCTTACCTACTAATTGTCCACCTTTTTTTGCTGTCTCACACTTTCTCCATTCAACATTGGTTTCTGTCCCAGCTGCCAATCTGTTCTACAACCTGTTTTAAATCCATATAAACAAAAATCAGTATACAATGTGTGCAAGCTGAGGCTACCTCTGCATGCATCAGTACTATTAGCTTAGACTTGCACTACTACCATCCTAAACATTAATTTGCTTCACTGCTGAACAACATTTGGTTTAAGCCTATTATTTAATGCATATCCTTTGAATAAATAAATAAATAAATAAATAAATAAATAAATAAATAAATAAATAAATAAATAAATAAATAAATAAATAAACTGTTGGGGTGAAAATTTTACCCCTCATTTCAGGCATCTAGTGTCTCCTACATTTGCTTAAAAGTTGCCTTTGGCATTTCTGTGATTCTGCTTTGACAGACACGTGTTTATTCAAGTTTTATGTGAAGACATTCGTGATAATTTTTCATTTTGCACCCTTTATTGCCATCCCATATTACCGGAAACATGCTGTCTTAAACTACCACACTTGAGACAAAAAAAAAAAAAAAAAAAAAAAAAAAAAAAGGTACAATTTGTATAAATCTTAAGACAGTTTCAAAACAATACATCTTCATTTTGACACACTAAAAAATCTTTTACATTAGTGTATGATTAATGCCTTTAGTACATAAATCATATAAATGTTACAACCTTCACGATAAAAACAGCCTATAGCATGTCTTCTCTCTCACCTTGTGTTCATGGATGAACGTCCTGTTCGATTCTGACCACATCCCCTGTGTGATGTCATCTTTAGCTATGTCATGTGACATTGGTAATATTTTATCTATAATATCTGAGGCAAACATGAAAAGTGTTGAGCTGTCTTATATTTTTTGTTGTCTCAATAAATCAGTAAATATAAAAGTCTGACAAATATTACTTTAAACTCCAACTCGTACTTGATTTTCCTTCTTTTCTGTGTGTAATTGTGTTATTTCAGGCCACCACAGACTTGTATGGAAACTGCACGCTGCGTCACTCTGGAACATCGGCAGCAGCGCCGGAGGCAGCAGGCGTCTTTGCTTTGGCTCTTGAGGCTAAGTGTGTACTCTGCAGACCCTTTCACAGACCTGTTATAATTGTGATTATTGATTTAGATGGCCTGTCTGCATAAAGCATTATTAGGTTACTTCATTGAGCAACACAACTGAAGAAGGTGGCGGTCAGCGGGTACAATTTGTTTAGTAATTTCTTTGAAAGAGAAACCTTGAGCGTTCGTGTCGATGCAGTGCGGTTTGAGACTTCCCCTGTCAATATCAAGATGGAAAAAAGGAGAACCCTAAGAATTTATGACAAAATCTACTTTACAATAAAACAAAGAGCAGAAAATCTTGAACGCAAGTTGTTCATTTTGAACCACGGTGCTTCATTTCTCACATTAAAGGGCAACAAGTCTCTGCGGGCAGCAGCTGATGAAGCTGAGTAAAGAAACACTGTTTGCTCTGCACACAAAGTAATGATGTTGCTGTTGTGAGGACCGGATGTTCACCCCGTCYGGTGGTAAATAACCCACAAGCCTTTTTACTGCCCAAACGCACTTGAACCAAGCAACAGCAGGAGCCAGTGACTCAGACAGAATAAAAAATGTCACTAAAAGCAGACAAAATAACAGAGGGAGACACAGTATAGGAAACCAACACACTCACACAGATGCACACACTGTATGTTGCTGAAAATGAAAAAAAAAAAAGGCAGAAATGATTGATAATCTCCTGTAAGTGTGTGTTGCCCACCCGCTTCGGATGTTATCATCCATTAAATGGATGTTATTAGCGGTTATCAGTCCCATAGAATGGCTTCAGACTGTCCCGACTGTGCCGCCTAGTGGGTTATCTGTCCAATAGAATGGCTTCAGACTGTCAGCTGGTTAGTATGAGGCATAAAGTCACTAAGGTTTTTTATGCAATCTGGTTAATATGAGGCATAAAACCACTAAGGTTTTTTAAGCAATCTGGTTATTATGAGGCATAAAGCTACTAAGGTTAATTTTAGAGAAAATGACATGGGCTACGATAAAGTAGACCAGACTCCGGCGGTAGCAGATTGTTGAATTCCAACGTATATGGCACTGGTAACCCACTAGGGGGCACTGTCGGGAGAGTCTGAAGCCATTCTATGGGACTGATAACTGCTAATAACATCCATTTAATGGACTGATGTGATAACATCCAAACCGGCTGTGTTGGCCATAAATTCATCTCTAATACTTTTGCATCCCTCTGTATATCCACTCCAGCCCTAACCTGACGTGGAGAGACATGCAGCACTTGTCTGTCCTGACCTCCAAGCGAAACCAGCTCCACGACGAAGTCCACCAGTGGAGGAGGAATGGCGTGGGCCTCGAGTTCAACCACCTGTTTGGGTACGGTGTGCTGGACGCTGGGGGCATGGTGAAGATGGCCAAGGACTGGAAAACCGTACCAGAGCGTTTCCACTGTGTAGCTGGATCCATTCAGGAACCTCAGTAAGTTTCTACAAGTTTGTGGTTTCTGCGTCATTTGCACGTTACAAAACCTCTMTGATCTGTTGCTGTCTTTTCAAGATTTTTTAGTAAGAAAACCCCTGCTGAGCATGAGAGACACTGATCTGATTACTACCAATCCCAGAGCGACCTGATTCAATAAAACATCTGCAATGAGAGCTTCCACTTTACTCCTGGATAATAAGATCAGCTGCTCAATCTAATAGTCATGCAGATATAAAATAAAGAAATGTTTCTGTTTAAGTGTTGATGATAGCAAATAACAGAACAAAGTTTAATTAAATCTAACTAGTAAAATCAGGTGTTTTTAAAAATAAGACTAATGATTGAAGCACTTTTATTTTTAATTTTAACAAAAATAAAAATGTTAACATTTGTTCTCTCTTTTTTAAAGACCACAGAAAAATGTGAATATATCTTTGATAAAAGATATCTAAATATTAAATTCAAAAAAATGCATTTTTAAAAATACAAGTAAAACTGTAACATTATTAGAATACATATATCAGGTACCAGAAAGAACTATATCATTCTTTTCATTTAATGAAACTTTGTAAACAAAACCGCTGATTATTCGATCCAGTTCAGTATCGCCGCTTTTCCTCACATCCTCATCATCATCATTTGATGTTTGCATCTCTCCCCATTGTTTTACGTTTCATCCTTTATTTCAAGCCTGCATTCCCTTTATCCTGACATTTTCCATTTTGGCTCCTCCTATCCCTCCATCCCCAGTGAATGCTTTGTAGAAGGTTTAGAGTCAACCCATCTTTATATGTTGTGACAAGGAGCTTCACTGTCAGGAACCACAGTGTCAAGATTTGATTTGACACTGTGGTGCTTTGTTTCCATTTCAAATAAAACACCACAGATTGTTTTTCTCATCAGTTTAGACAAAAAGGCAATACATTTTTGACCTTTATTAGATAATTACCTTTTGTTCTTTCCAGAGTATAGTTCTTGTGACGAATAACTCCAAAATCACTCATTTGTTGCTGATTAACTGTCAGAAAAAAACATAAACAGTTGAAAGCAAACATCCATATGAACTCATCAAATTATGTCGTAAAGCATGCATGAAAACAGCTAGAACTGCTTCTAACTAAAATGTAAAATATGTCATATTAAACACTGTAAAAGAAACTCCATCTGAAATATGTGAACTAAAATTAAAGATCAAAAAGTAAATAAAAATTACGTTGATGGCCATATTGTTTTCATGCTTCTCTTCTGTGTAAGATTAAGACTTTCTAATTTGAATTTGGTTGTATTTTAGTGAAATACATAATGAGAATAAGAAAAAATGCATACTGTAGATGATTTCCTGAAACCTTTTCAAGTTACTCCTTTCAGGTGGAAGAGTTATCAATCTCAAAATAACTCAGGGAAGAAATGTAATGTTAAACTTTATAAACGATGTACTACCACTGGATAATTAAGGTTCTTGTAACTAATAATACTTATCTGTTTGATCATAGCTCATTTATCTAGCAGGAATAAATAAGATACATCGCTGAATTAGTCTAACATCCTGTGGTGTGTTTAGAGGTGGTCATATAAGAATGTTTAAAACTAAACCAAACTACAGCAGCTGAAGTGGTAATTTCCAAAATAATAATATATCAGAACTGCCTGAATTAGAAATTATGTCAACAGAGATAAATATGAAGGCGCCAAAATGCAGTATCTTTTTAAAGTGTTTCTGAATGTGTCACCATGTTGACCATCAAAACTATCCATGCTTATTTTGCTCTCAAGGTGATCTCACGCCTCACTCAAATTCTTGTGCTAAATCGTTTTTTTATGCTACCATAAAATTCTGGGAAAAATGTTCTAATCGACATACTCGCCACCAGAAAGTGATTCAAATCATCTCCGAGTGAATGTGTCTGATCTGACTCTGTGCGTTAGCATACATAGTGAAACTTACGAGCACATAAAGCTAAAAATAACCCACTGAAAGACGGTCTGGTAACATATTCATAAATTAACACCGTAGCTCTCCTCTGTCTCAGTGTAATACAGACAATGAAGTCACGACAGCAGTGACGTAAATGGATCCCTGTATGAACGCGTCCCTCCCTTGGGTGTGGTGCTGTGAAGATAAAAACAGAAATGTCAAACGTCATGTGGCATGACCTGCAAACCGTCAGAGAAGACCTTGTTTCTACAGAAAGTTTGTGAAATAAAACATTAACCAGCTGCAGAAAGTGAGTTCTGCTCTTGTCAAAAGTGGTGTTTATTGGAGAGAAATGTCAGCAGAACCATGTCTCTGTTATGTAGAAGCTGAATCACTGGCTGTGCTTCTCCTTCTTCTTCTTCTTCTTTTATCAGTTCCTTGTTTCCACAGCAGCACTGTGGGGCTTCTGCTGCCTGCATTGTGGTAGAGCTATATATACAACAAGCCCACCTCCGATGATAGTGTATCATCAGAAGATAAACCAATAAACACCAACGTAGCCATGCACACAAACTCTGCTCAGCACTGATCTGATCGCAGTTCTGGCTGCCTCTAGCTTACTTAGCTGCAGGAAAACTTCTCATTATCAGCTGAGCCAGCACACAGTGTCCCACTGAGCAGTGTGGTTGTTTTTTTTTAATTCTCCACAGGTCCTGTCTTTCAGAGGAAGCCCTCTCCTCACTCTCTGGTGTTGTAATTACCCTAACATATTATCTGATGGGAAATGTGCATCTGCTGCACACATCTGTCTGAGGAAAAAAAAAACAGTCTCACGCCTGCACTTAATGATACACATGTGCAGTTTAAATAAAAACATAAATAAAAAAGCCTAAACAATAATTCATTTAGAAATAAATTCACCAATCCATCAAAAAGTAACATTCTGATCTGTCGCACTAAAGAGGACAAATATAGTGTATTTCCAATTTTTAAGCTATCTGGGACTTTTTTGAATGTCTCTAATGAAGTGAAATATCTTGGTCATGTGTTGACAGACCGTCTGTCTGATGATGAGGACATTTCCCGTCAAGTTCGTATGATATATGCTCAGGCAAATATCCTTKTCCGTAAGTTTGGATTCTGTTCTGATGAAGTGAAACTGAACTTGTTCAGATCATATTGTATCTCACTGTGAACGGCAAATTTGTGGTGCAATTAAAAAAAGATAGTCCTCTTAGATTGAGTGTAGCTTATAATGATTCACTAAGACTTTTGTTAAAGTACCCCCTCCCCCCCCCAACCGTTAAAAGATAACTCCGCCCCAAGGCGAAATTTGAAAAATGCATCAAAGTGGGTAGGGGAGGGGGTGTGGGTGGGGAAGGGGGGGTTAGAGAACGGAGGTGTGGCCAGGACGAGAGAACGTGACAGGCAGCTAGCATTAGCATAATTGATACTACATGGAGAGTGACCACAGTATCGCAGAGAGTTACATCTCTGAACGGTCTGAGGTGGAGGATTTTCACCCCACACCAGCCTCGGACAGAGGAGGAGGAGTGCTCCGACAGCCTGACAGAAAAAATAGCATACAGCTGCAGCTGCTCACAAGATCGCTAGTTTAAATCAGGAATAAAAGTGTTGGGTCTTGTT